CATACATAGTGGAGAGAAGCCATTTTGCTGTGATGTATGTAATAAGTCATTCACCTGGCAGAGTTATCTGAAGACACATCAGCGCATACATAGTGGAGAGAAGCCATTTTGCTGTGATGTATGTGAAATGTCATTCAGTCAGCAGAGCCATCTGAAGACACATCTGCGCATACATATTGATGTGTGCAATAAATCATAGAGCAGTAGGGATGGGTTTAGACTAAATGAACAGTATGTGACTTGTAGCATGCCACAGTTTCTCATGTTGTAAGTAAGACAGTTTTGCTGTGTGTGGCATGCTTCAGTTTTATAGACTGCTACAATATATTTGAGTTGATTATTGTTACTAACCTTTCGATCAGATGGGAAATGAACTGAGTCCCGTGGTACAAAAAATCTGTGCAAATGAGTTCCATTTGTTTCTGATTTCTGAATGTGTGCAATGCCCTGTCTTGTTGAGTGGAAGCAGACATGACATGACATGTCATGACATTCTCCTGCATTTATGATGTTAATTCAGCATTGGAAGCTAATGATTAGTAGAGTGTATCACTGAAATGGATCGACAGCTTATGAACATAATTCAGCAGCATTATATGTTTTTTGCTGTGCTGTGTTCTGCCATTTCATGTGAGTAAATTCGTTGATCAGTTAGTTTCAGATTTATATATCGCTGATTCTGCTTGTGGAGAAATAAAGTAGTATAGAGAATTTAATTGAAAGGATCAAGAAATACTTGCTTACATCTTTTCATTTTGAATATCAGCAGAGAAACTGAATGGTCTGTCATGAGATCAGAAAAGAAAGTGGTTTGGCACTGAGGCACTCCTTTTTGCGTTAGGTCTCCTTTGCCTTAGAGGGAAAGAGTCAACTGAAAATGGCGAAGTAAGTTTCAGTGTAATTATATAATTCTTTAAGAAAATTAGGCAGTGTCATTAATATTATTAATTGGAATTCAGAGATTTCACGTAGTGGAATGACACAAGAGGAATAGCTTTTAATTGTACTTAAATTCAGTGAGGTTATGCCCCTCCATCCGTACCAGTTTTCTTCACTGCCTGAATGAACTGCATCATAATTGAAGCTAATTCTTGGTCACTCTGAGCAAGTGATCTGATTACTAACACTTTTCTGGCCAAGGAACGCTTTCTTCATTTTGCATAAGATGTACCATGCATTCATCCCTCATTAACTTTGCATCAGCAGAGCTCTTCCTCGTGTGCCATCACACGTTGGCTGTTGCTTCATCATCAGAACTGATCCTGCTCCATGGTCCTGGAATGTTTTTTCCAGTTTGTGTCTCTTCACCAGCGCGCGAATGGTTTTGCAAGTTGCAGTTGTCCTCAGAAAAGTGTGAAGGTAGGCTGATGCTGTGTATTCTGTATGCTTAAAGAAGGGAATATGGAGTGAAATCATCTGGCTCAGGATAGGGGCCAGTGTCTGGCTGTGAATGGTAGTGAACCCTTGCATTCCATAAGATGTTGGTAATTCACTGAGTAGCTGAGCAAACTGTAGCTTCTCTGGAAAGGTGCAGCTGTGTGAAGTTGGTTAATATTTGGCATTAGAACTTCTAGATTGATTGTCTGGAACTGGAATTTGTTGTTGACCCCATCCTGCTGAAGCAACCCTAATGTGTCTCCGATGGTCAGTAAGTCTGGGTTCCCCTGTTATATACATTGGGGCAGTACAGTATGCTATGTATATATACATGAGGGCAGTGCCTCCCATCCAGCCAGTCAGTTTATCAAACCCTGTATTCCCACCAGACTGAAGCAAAGCTTGTCTTCTTCCAAGAAATCTATTTTTGCAGTATGTGTGTCCAGTTCAATTACTGCTACATAAGTGATTCCAGGGAACTGAGTTAGTAATCATTAATGGAAGTTCTTATTTTTGAGACCTTGTGTCCCGCTTGTGCAGAAGCTGTTTTAGTGTATACAAATTTTAAGTCACATTGTGAGCACATGCTGTGCGCAGTGAAACAGCTGCTTGGTGTAGCTGATGCAGCAGAGGGACTGACATGCAGAGCCACGTGGAAAGGATGGATGAAGAGACAAATAACAGTACAGACCTTGGGGAATAAGAAATGTGACCAAGAAAGAAGGTGGGCAGAATAACAAAGAGACTCTGAACGTGACATAGAAGCCTGTACCTTTACTGAAGAAGAAGAAAAAAATATTTCCGACTTACGCTTCATTCACCAAAATTCAGAATTTAAAATTGGTATTGTATATCACTCAGAATCACTTGCTGGGTTTTTGGATTCTCTTCATTGTCTGGTGTTCAAGAAACAAGAGAATGTACCATTTCAGGAACTGGGTCTGTTTCGGTCCTCTCTTGAGGGTGGGGTGGGGGCACAACTACTCTGCTGGGTCCATTAGAAAGAGCTCTTTCTAGCAGGTCAATGGAGAAAGTCCAAAAATCCAGCGATTCCAGAAACCTTTAGAATCTACAGGTATCCTACAAGTGTGTGTGTGTGTGTGTTCTTGCGAGCGTATGTTATTTAGGGTTTATTTTACAAAGGCCTAAGTATTTTAGGCTATGTAGCACTGGTTGGAATAATGCTTGATAAGTGGTGAACTTGGAATGATTTNGTGTATCATGTATTATGCTGGTTTATTATTTTGTTCCGTTTATTGTCAGTAATCGTTACCTTCTATTCTGATTTTAAAACGGTCATAACTCCGTAACCGTCCAAAATCGGGCATATGTTTATATGAACTTTTTTGATCACAAAGACCTAGGAAATCACCTCCTGCAGTTATGACCTAAAGTCGTGAAACACCCTGTATATATGTATCTGTATGTCATCATGCTGTATGTTGGTAATTTTGAATATATGGTCTTAATGGAATAGGGAGTTAATGTCAGCACAGTACAGTAGACCTAAGCCTGTGTGTTCGGTAGAGGGCTCTAAAATATGCCAGTCAGACTTGCCGGCGTGCCACATTTACATAAATTAGCTCACATACGCTTTTGGCTCTGATATTATAAACTGTGTAGCAACAGAAGGGTGCGCAAGTTGTGTCTGTTTCATGGTCACTGTGTTTCAACTGTTTGAATGCTGAGTCTTCGTAGCTGACATGGCCAAGACAGGCCACAGAGTGGGACAATGGAGACAGAAGTAATGTTTCAGCGCCATGAGTCTTGCTGAAGTACTGCCAAGAGTGGGACAGCAGAGACAGAAGTAATGTTTCAGCACCATGAGCACCACCTGCCATGACTCTCGCTGAAGTACTGCCAAGAGTGGGACAGTGGAGACAGAAGTAATGTTTCAGCGCCATGAGTCTTCCTGAAGTACTGCCAAGAGTGGGACAGCGGAGACAGAAGTAATGTTTCAGCGTCATGAGCACCGCCTGCCACGAGTCTGGCCGAAGTACTGCCAAAGCTGTGGACTGAATGCACCAGTTCCTCACAAAGTTGTATTTTATTGTATTGTAACCCTACTCAGATGTTGCAGATACAAGCAGGGTGACAACGGTTTCTCCAGTTTCCATCTGTGAAACCCAAAATGAAGGAACTGGTGGAGTTGGAAGCTACCCCACCCCCCCAACAAAGGATAAGGAGGGGACATGATGGCTGTAGGAATGCTGTATCCAGAGAAGTTACAGAGACCCCTCTGTTGCATGTCTTTCCCCCAGGAAGAATTATCATTGCTGTTGCAAATTAGGGAGGGTGAACTGTTTGTTATTAGTAACTATTCTTGCCATTCTTTAGGCAAGTATCTTAGCAATGAAGATTTTCTGTTCTGTACAGCTGTGTTAATTTCTAACAGTGGTTCTCTTCATATTCAGTTCTTCTTTTAACTTCTGGACAAACATTTCTCATAATCTTAGTCACTTTTCCACATTTGAATCATTTCCTGTTTGGCCAGATCATCTGTTATCTCATGGTGTATGCTCTGCACATTTCTTCATTTCCATTAATATTTAACATTTTCTAAATGTTTGTGGGTATTTCATCAGTTTTACTGACAAACTGCTCTTGATTCTCTGTAATAAATTGTTATCTTCTCTTCTGGCAAAGAAACAAAACACTTCTCCAGTAAACACTACTATTGGAAAAGAATCTCATTTGAAATAATATTACAGTTCTAATGAGTGACACCTCCTATCTCTTATCTCTGCTACTTTAAAGAAATAAAATATTGTAACCCCCCTCCTATGTGACCATGCCCTGTTGCCACTGTCTTCACCAGTCTCAGTACTTGTTCTCCTTCAGTGTTGCGACCTTACACTTTGCCTCAGTATCACAATGCAAATGCTCATTTGCTGATTTAACAGTACAAAATTAGAAAGTGCAGCACTGAGTGTTAGGATTGCAGTTTCTATGATATGGCACCAGACTTACAGAGTTGTGTCCCAGAAGTCTGCAGTTGTAAGTGATGTCAAAGAGTGAGATTGACAGTGGTACATCATGGTGGGTAAAGGGCCTACAGTAAAGAAGATTAAAAATAGTGTTTCACAACAACATTCATTCTGAGTGTAAGAGAAATTTCCACAATAATTAACAAAGTTTTGAACCCAGAAGGGAATTACTATTTAGTCCGCTGAAAGTAAACCGACATTATGGAGAAACATGCCAGGGCCGAAAATAAGCCAAGTATGACATCAGAGTATAAGGGGTAGCAAGCAGATTTGTTACCTGCTTCATGTGCCTCCGAAACGTCGGTCGTCCGGCGGACTACACAGCGCTATATCCCAGAAGACAGACCTCTTCATAACCGCCTTTGTTTGAATCTCAAATCGTACAATAAATATATCGTTTCTTTCTTGGGTGCACATAAGTTATCCATGAATATATTTTTTTTTATTCAAGAAAAAAAAAAAGAATGTAAATACAATTGAGGCCTAGGCTATGCCCATCCAGCGTAAATAATGAATACGGACCTCATCCATACGAGGTGCCATCTACCAAGCAAAAGTCAGTAAGTAATATTCGGAGGTGATCCGTGACTTTAAGTTGCTGGTTCTGCCGCTAGAGGTTCTAGAATTCCTGCATTGGAAAGTTGTGTTTTGCAACGTTGGTCACGGTGGTCAACAAGTAGTTGTGAAGTGCGGCAGGTGACTTATTTTTGTGTGTCTGAATGCTATAAAGGTGGAAAAGAGGTTTTATAGCTTCATATATCGTACATAAGTGAGTGCTTTATGAAACGTCAGCTGCATTGGCACGAGAAAATTTGGATATTGTGTATTCAGCAGTTGTGTTTTGCTTTCTGCAGCTGGAGACATTTCTTTGGTCAACCACATACTAGCAATAACTCAACTATTCCGGGTTTCTGGCGTCTTTGTTATAGTATTATAAAGAATCTGAAACATATTACACATAATGGGGAAGCATGAAGTGTGTGCCCCCAAATATATTGCGAAGAAAATAAAGGCGAAAGGCCTCCAGAAACTTCGTTTGTATTGTCAGATGTCCGAGAAGCAATGCCATGACGAGAATGGTTTCAGGTGCCATATGACGTCAGAATCACATCAGCGACAACTTCTTCTATTTGCTGATAATGCAGACAGGTACATTAATAATTTTTCCAAAGAATTTGAAAGAGATTACCTGGAAGTACTAAAACATGAGTTTGGTACAAAACGTGTTCATGCAAATCGTGTGTACCAGCACTATATCTCCGACCGTCATCATTTGCATATGACTTCTACAAAGTGGGATACATTGACAGACTTTGTGAAATGGCTTGGAAGAGAAGGAAAGTGCAAGGTGGATGAGGGTGAAGAAGGATGGTTTGTACAGCATGTAGACCGTGACCCAGAAACAACTGTCATGCAAGAAGCTGTTTCCCGCAAGGAGAAGATCGACAGAGACGACCAAGAGATGATGATGGCCTTTACTGAAAAGCAAATTGAGAAGGGGAAAGAAAGTCAAAGAATGACACACCCATATTCATGGAGTTTGTGCGACCAAGAGAGCAACATAAAATTGTTGTAAATTTGAAGGTAGAAAGAAAAAGGGATGAGGACATGAAAAATAATATTTTGGTGGCAAGTAATGCATTGAAGAATGGTTCTTCAGCAGAAAACAAAAAAGACTCTAGAGAATCTGGAAGAAGGAGAGGTGAAAAGAGGAAATTATCAGCCCTTGGTGAGATCATTAAAGATGAAGAGAACGAGAGAGAACGTATAAACAGAAAGGATTACTGGTTGGTGGAAGGAATTGTTGTGAAAGTGATGGCAAAGTGTCTGGGTGACAAATACCACAGGAAGAAAGGGGTTGTAGCTACAGTATGCATGTTAGATAGTGGACACAAACTAAAACTAGACCAAGAACATCTTGAAATGGTGATACCAGCAATAGGGCGACCTGTGCGTGTTGTAAATGGTGCTTATCGTGTTTGCAGTGCCATGCTTAGGGAACTGGATCAGAAGAAATTCTGTGTAACCATTGAAATATCCTCAGGCCCTTTGAAGGGCAGAATAGTTGACAAAGTTGAATATGCAGATATCTGTAAATTATATAATGTTGATATGTGAATACATTATAACATTAATGTGACATATTCACAAGTTTAAAGACGGTTTGATCCTGTAAGAAATAATAAGAACAAAGCATATAAATTTAGCTACAGTACTCTTTGCAGTGAGATATTAATTCTGTAATTCAGTTAATAAGCCATCATTGTAACGTCTCCAGTTAATTATGAAATGTTACCAACGAGAAGTTTAACTATTGTTCTTCATTTCATATAACTACAACGAATGATATAGGAGCTGTGATTGGGGGTCAGAGTTCAAGTCCCAGTAGGGTGAAGACTGGCTTTGGAGCCTACCCAGCCTTCTGAATCAAGTAATCATTAAATGGGGGTTTCCCTGTATTTATAATTTTGGATCACATGGCAGTGTGGAATGATGAAGTGTTTTCAAAAAAAGTGGCTAACCAGTCCCACCATAGGGTGATGAAATTATAGATAGAATGAAGATACGTTAACAACAGCCATGAAAGGCAGTGGGCTTCTTGCCTAATATATGTTGGAAATAAGAGCAGAGAACAAAATTTTATTTAAAATTTTTTGCTCATAATGCAGTGTTGACAAGTACTAGTTTTGTTATATTCTAGAAATTAATTTATAGAATGAATATTGATGTTAGTTGTGCAAAATGGCAGTATTAAATTTTCGTTTTGTAAATTTCACAGAGTTTATTTGACACCAAGAATTAATGACTGACTGACCATCAGTCTCAATGTTACTGTGACTTTGACTTGATATATAGCTCAGTTTGTCTTTGGCTTTGACTGTATGTCTGAATGGAGACCTGGTGTGAGCACTGGAATATCAGAATTAATGAAGATAAGACTCGGGGGATCTACTTCTCTCGCAGTCATCATCCGCCTGTGCCTCATCTTACGTTGAACTGAAGGTATATTCCATTTGTAAACTGTGTAAAATATAGCTAATAAGTCAAAGTCACATTGCGACTAACGGTAGATCAGTCACTGAGTCAGTAAGTCTTGGTTCCAAGTGTAACCTGGAGCTCATGACCAGATATTTATTACTGTTTGACAGTTACAGTCTTGTTACTGTGGGGTGCCGTTTCTGGTGAGAGAACGAGTCTGTCTTTTGTATATGCTGCTGGCCCTTGCCAGCGCAGTGCCACCACCTTAACTGTGGCTTTTAGATGCAGGTAAGTGGTTAGCTTAATGCTCCTGCCACTTTACCCCTGATACTCACTGTATAGGAAGCTGGGTCTGCCACAGAGTCAGTCTGGATGTTACAGAGAAAAGAAAAATCTTACCAATGCCAAGAATCTGATCCAGACTCCTTGGTCATCGAGGACATACCGTAGCCACTGAGCTATCCTGGTTCCTAAACCCAGAGCTGTATCAATGGAAATCTCTGTAACCGCACATATCAAAGGCAAACGTGAAGAATTTAAATTTTTTTAATCTCCAAGGGATTCTTCTAAATCTGTTGTTGGAAACAAGATTATGGTGTCAAAAATGTAATGGTATATGTGCGCAGCCTGTCGAACTTTGCAACGTCAAAATACTTCTGTTTTTAATCCATCCTATTGTAGCTTTGACACTGTAATGATGTCCGTATTCTTGTCTGGTGTGCATTCTTTATGAACATTGACCTTAATATGGTCATGTTAATCTCAAAAGCATAAAATTTTAGTCATTCTACCTCATTCAAGGTTTTGTCAGCTTTGAGATAGAATAAGTCACAACAAATTATAAACAAATACGTAAAATGTCTTCATTTTCCAGTTGGGAAGTGAATACAAATGCTAGTGGGTCCTAAGCTGCTATCACAAGTTCACAACACAAGCATTGACTTCTACAGTTACTATGTCTGGAGACAGGGACTCGCCCTATCGGTTGGCCCCAACTGAGTAGGTTTCACTTGAAGACAGAGACAGAACCCAATCTCTGAAACGCTCTGTTTGAAATATAAAAGAGGATGGTATTTTAAGATAAAGGCAGGATGGTGGATAGTGTTCAGAAACATAATATTTGTACTAATGTACCATCGTTACAAACTTTTCAATCTTATACTGAACGTAAGTTGAATTCTGGCGGACGGTATATTTGACTATAATGCAAGTGAGACATGATGGACACATTTTAATCTTGGCGCTAGATGAAGGCAAGTGGTCAGCTTCAAGCCCCTGGTGGTTTAGCCCCAGGGATACAGTCTCAAGGACGAATTGTATACGAGGCTAGGGTGGGCCAAAGAGCGGGGACCCACCCTCCTGCACAGTGGCTGTAATGACTGGAAGGTTTAAGCTGACCACTCATGTCCACCCAGTGCCAGGGTTATGAATAGCGGAGCTATACATCCAATTCCCCTTTATCTATGCCATGAATATGTATGCGGGAGTGGATGTATAGATCCATATATTTTGAATGTTGGCAGTAGTAGCAGGTGAGTGGTCAGCTTCACAGCCTGGTGGCTTTAACCCCAGGGAAACAGCCCCTCACTACCACTGGATTGGATGCTGGGTGGACCCCAAAACTGGTCTGGGTGATTTGGGGAGGAGAAAAATCTTACCCCTACTGGGACTCAAACTCCAGTCCCTCAGCTGTCCAACCCTTAGCCAGTTGTTATACGAACAGCGCTGGTGCTTACCTTTTACTCTGAGATTTCTCCATTCTTGTGACATTCAGACAAGGACAAGCACTGTAACTGACATTGGTAAATTTGACCTCTTCCATAAGCTATGCTAAATTTTACAGTCCACATACACATATAGCTCTGGAGTCTATTAAGACTGTGTTGTATGCTTGATCACCTGAAGGTCAGTTTTCACCCAACCTGACATTTTTATGTTACCTTCCAGAAAACTTGCTAAATTGCACTGTCCACTCCATTTGTGAGTTGATAGTTTCTATAAAAGGAGTATGGTAACATAATTGTTACTGTACTCATACAGAACATATCTAATGCAGTATCAGATAACTTTCAGCCTTATAACCGCACACGGCCGTCACTTCTTACAACCGCTGTTCACCA